CCATTTTGGCTGCCCATTTGGATTTGTGCCTATGCTCCTGGTTCACAGGTCAATTATCCCATCTCTGAACTCTCCTACACAACTCCAGTCCTCTGCTAGAGCTCAAGGTGAGTAGCTGCACACAAAATTTTTGTGCATTGCCCATTAAGAGGATACCTGCATTTCCAGCTGTTTTTTCCTACTGCTTTTGCAGCCAAATATTATGTGGACACATTTCTCAGTTCTGATGCTCTGGGTTGGGGAACTCAGCTTGGAGTTTAGACTCCAGAGTTCTCAGTGGGAACTCCCTACAGCTAAGATTTTCCTCTGGAACTTCAGCTGCTGTCTGCAGGAGCCTGGTTAGCCTGCTCATGTCTCTGAACTTCCTATTAGTCTCTATTTACTCTCCACTTTCCATTCTTAGTTATCAGGGTTCTCTTCAGTTAGTCTTAAGTTGATTATTCAGGTTGGTTTTTCTATATTTTAGTTGTAATTCCAGTTTGGTCCTGGAAGACTCAGTGTAGCTTCTGCTTATTCCACTCCCATTTTTAAGATCATTAAGAACTGGAAACTTCCATTTTGACTGAGCAAATGAAATTGACATAGAAATCCAGGATCATGACAAAAAAGATAACCATGAAAAAAAATGAGAAAAAACAAGACTTGATTTTACTCTCAGTTATCTCACACACACACACACACACACACACACACACACACACACAAAGACAATGTCCCATAAACACAAGAGAAGCTGAAAAACAGGATGGGATAAAGTATGAAGACATTTGGCTCCACCTACATCTATAGAGAGCTTTCTGGAAGCTGTATGAAAACCATCTTTATGGCACAAAGCCAGTACTCGCAACAATACTCCACCTTTGTGATCTGCCACAACTAAGAAGGCAATGGCTTTGGAAAGCATGTGAATTAGAGCAGCACTCATGGTCCATGAGAAACTTTCGGTGGCCGTAGAAAAATTTGGACATTATTTGCATTTTTTATGTTTTATTGATCCTAATAATAAAACACACAAAAATATTCTGAGAAATTCTTATATTCTGACTGAGTGACAATTTTTACCTTTACACTGCATAAAATTCACGAAATGTACTACAGTAATGTACTACATTACATCATAGTTCCCCTTTCTACTAACTAAGAAGGGGAAACCAGAGAGGTTGCAAGCGGCTTCAGTATTGTTTTGACCATTACAGCAGTCACCACTCCGTGATTACCAATTCTCATCTGATAGTTTTATTTTATTTGTGTATTGTATGTAGCTGTGTATTTTCTTTAACTGTTATGTTTAATGGCATCAAATAGTTTGACTTTAATAACTATCATTTCTTGTTTGGTTTTAGATTCGAATAAAATAAACCCACAATGAGTGAAAAAAGGCAAAGGAATATTTTGCATTTCTTTAGTAATACAAAAGATAACATAACTAATGACAATAGTAACAATAGTAATATGTGTACTTCACTTAACCGTGAGCTGATCGATGAATCAGTCTCCACAATCCTCCTCAGACACCATTAGGAAGAACATACAAACTGGATACGGAGACAAGAAAAAACTCAAAAGAATCAAGTAAATAGATTCGAACTACTTGAAATTTGGATTTGTTCAAGAACCTGGTAGTGAGCTGGATCCACAGCTGCTTTCTGCCGTGTGTTCTGAGACTTTATCCAATGATGCCATGAACCTTCGAAACTCGAAAGACATTTGCAACCAAAACACCTGGATTTAGCCAAAAGACCACTTGAATATTTTCAAAGGATGCATGAAAATATATAAAAGCAATGATTGGTGTAACAAAAATGACTGCTGGAGATAAATCCTTATTAAAGGCTTATAAAAAGCCATATACGAGTCCTGGCCTGTTTGGCTCAGTGGATAGAGCGTCGGCTTGGGGACTGAAGGATCCCAGGTTCGATTCCAGTCAAGGGCATGTACTTTGGTTGCAGGCACCTCCCCAGTGGGGGGTGTGCAGGAGGCAGCTGTTCGATGTTTCTCTCTCATCGATGTTTTTAGCTCTCTATCCTTCTCCCTTCCTCTTTGTAAAAAATCAATAATTTTTTTTAAAGCTGTATACGATTAGAGAATACTTAATTAAGCCTTGAAGGTTACAAGCCAGTAAAGAGGTTTTGGGAAAGCAATTCCTATGTTTGCTAACTGAAAGCAATTCCTATGTCTGCTAACACTGTCAAACGCAAAATTGAAGACATGGCTGAAGATATTGAATATCAAGTTATAAAAATGGTGAAAAATTCACAAACATTTTATTCAACTTGATCAACAGACCTAAGTAACAAAGCACTTTTCCTTTGTTTTGTGAGGGCTGAGTGTGAAGGAGAGTTACAGGAAGAACAAACTACTTTGTTCACTTAGCTTGCCAGTGGAACAACTAGCTTTGAGATTTTTTGAAGCACTTAATAGTTATTTCCTGGAACACGAAATTGAATGGAAAAAAATGTACTGGGATATGTATATACGGTGCCACAAACATGACTTGACATCTTTTGGGAACTGTTGCAAAGGTGAAAAATGTTGTCACCCAGGCATTTTGTCTACACACTGTATTATACATCGTGAGCAACGTGCAGTGAAAAAAATGTCCCCAGAACTACACAAAGTATTATTAGATGTTATGAAAACTATAAATGAAATTCCATACAAAGTGCTCAATTCTCAAATATTTGAGGCACTTGGCGAAGAAAGGGGTTCCCAGGATACTCAACTTCTTCACGCTGAGGTGAGATGGCTGTCGAGGGGCAAGATACTAACCCAACTGTTTGCCCTGCGGAATAAGTCAAAATATTTTTCCAGCAGCCAATAATCCGAAATTACAAGAACTCTTCTCTGACAATGAGTGGACAGCCAAGCTTGCATACCTAACAGATATTTTTTTGCTATTAAATGACAACTTAAGGATGTGTTCACACTACGAGATAAAATTGATGCTTTTCAAAAGAAAATATTACTGTGGCAAACGTTGTTGGCAGAAGAAGATCTGCAAATGTTTTCAAGCTTCTCTGAATATATGCAAGAGAATGATGTCAACTGGCAGGTGGTAACCATTGTTTAACAGCACTCACTTACAATCACTCACAGAACCTTTTGGTCATTCTTACCCAAAGAAAGAAGATACCAGACTTGGTAATATGTGGATAATAGATCCATTTGCAGCAAACATTGAAGACAGCAATTTAAACATGAATGAAAAAGAAAGCCTCATCAATCTATCATCCAACAACAGTCTCAAAGCTAATTTCTAGTCATTCTTATCATGACCTCATTTTTGGATCTCTATTAAAAGTGAATACCCACTGTTGAGTGAAAAAGCAATGAAAATTTTGATTCAATTTTCAACAACATATTTGTGCAAAAAAAAATTTTCATCAGTCACAGCAATTAAAACTCTTGTCTCAGCTTGAAATAAATACGGCTCTCCATCTTGCAGTAACATCATTGGAGCCAAAAATCCATAAACTTATTTCAAGCAAACAGGAGCAAATATCACACTGTAAAATTGTGTAATACTTAAATTTATTTTAATGAATGTGCTACAATTAAACAACCTTTGAAGATTTTGTTATGATTAAATAAGTATTTATAATGTTGTTATTTTAAATAGGTGCATTTCATATTAATAAAATGGAAATTTTTTTAAAAAATATATTTTATTGATTTTTCTTACAGAGAGGAAGGGAGAGAGATAGAGAGCTAGAATCGTTGATGAGAGAGAAACATCGACCAGCTGCCTCCTGCCCACCCCCCACTGGGGATGTGCCCGCAACCAATGTACATGCCCTTGACTGGAATCAAACCCGGGACCCTTCAGTCCACAGACCGACGCTCTATCCACTGAGCCAAACCGGTTTCGGCTAAAATGGAAGTTCTTTGACCGTTATTTTACAAATTTTGTGCACTGGGAGGGGGTGTCCATTAGCCCAGCCTGCATCCTCTCCAATCTGGGACCCCTCAGGGGATGTCCAACTGTTGGTTTAGGCCTGATCCCACAGTCAGACATCCCTCTCACAATCCAGGACTGCTGGCTCCCAACCTCTCACCTGCCTGCCTGCCTGCCTCATTGCCCCTAACTGCTTCTGCCTGCCAACCTTATCAACCCCCTAACCACTCCCCTGCCAGCCTGACTGATGCCTAATTGCTCCCCTGCTGGCCCAATCACCCCCAACTGCCCTTCCCTGCAGGTTTGGTCCCCCCCAACTGCCCTCCCCTGCCAGCCTGGTCATCCATAATTGTCCTCCCCTTGCAGGCCTGGTCACTCTCAACTGCCCTCCACTGCAGGCCCAATCACCCCCAACTGCCCTCCCCTGCTGGCCTGTTTGCCCCCAACTGCCCTCCTCTGCTGGCCATTTTGTGGCAGCCATCTTGTGATGACATGAATGCAGCCATCTTATGACCACATGGGGGCGGCCATCTTGTGACCATATGGGGTTGGCCATCTTATGACCACATGGAGGGGCCATCTTGTGTGAGGGCATGATGGTCAATTTGCATATTGCCTCTTTATTATATATAATAGGATGTATTTATCTCTTTTTTGTTTTAATCTTATTAGTGGTCCATGGGATTTTAAATTATGAATTTAGTAGTCCGTGAGGTCTGAAAGGTTAGTGACCTCTGAGTTACTGTCATGATGTCCTGAGTGTTCAGTCATTTTAGTCATGAGATCATCATTGTTGAAAAGCAATAGGCATATCACAGCAATAATTTTTTTTAAAGGCTCAGCTGGCACAGATTAGTAGTTGAGTGTCAACCTATGAGGCAGGAGGTCATAGTTCGATTCTAGTCAGGGCATATGCCCAGGTTGCGGGCTTGATCCCCAGTGTGGGGTGTGCAGAAGGCAGCCAATCAATTATTCTCTATCATCGTGAATGTTTCTATCTCTCCCTCTCTCTCTGAAATCAATTAAAATATTTTTTAATAAAAAATTTTAAAAAGCAGTCCTCCTCCAAAACTAGTGAACAAAACACTGAATAGTAAGATGGCAACTACATTACTATGTTCAAGTAGCAGCTAAGTCTTAGTGGTCCACAGAGTGAGGCTAAAAACCACAAGGGTGAAATTATATACCCAGCATCTGCATGTTTAAATATTTGATCCACTGGTGTTGGGTAATACTTTTTCCAGAGAAAATAGCTTTTGAAACAAAACCATAGAAATGCAGTCCTAAGTTTTAATATAAAAATGAACTGAATAATGTGAACTTTTAGGAGGTCAGATGATTCAAAAAGTCTCACTGCCTTAAAAAAATTTAGTGAAATATAATAATTTTTACTCTGAATTTCTGTACTATTTGTATTTTTTTTTTTTTTTTTTTTACAATGAGCACACATTTCTTACTTAACAACACAATAAACCAAGAAATAAAGAAAAAACTAGATGATGGGCTGGATACTTTGGTTTCTTTGCCTGAAGATATTACAGAGACACCTTCCCCTACTTTACACAGGAAGATATCAGAAAGGTTAAGAAGTCACTAAGTTACTATTTTAGGGAGAAATCACCAATAGAAATACTTCTCCTCGATCTAAAAAACCTCTCACTAAAATGATCAGCTGTTCTAAGGTTAACAGTCTGTCCCGAAAACTCCAATTTCAAGCAGAACCGTCCTGGTGTTAAGAGCATTCATTCTGCAGCAGGGAACAGAGGAGCTGATGAAAGCTAGAAGCAGCCTGGAAGTAGAGAGAGGACAGGGGACTCCAGGGCTCATGCTGAACCAAGGAGGGTGATCCAGGCTGTCATGGGTTTGAGAGGGACGCTGGTGGAGTCCAGAGCAGCGGCCAGGAAAAATGTGTCTGGAGGGGCTAAGCTGTTGTCTAGATCCGTGACTGAGAAAGCCTGTGAGGGCAGGCACATGGAGAGAGCCTTTAGAGACAGGCACTGATCGGTCCCTAACCAAGGGCTATGCATGTCCACCACCCCGAGGCCACTGCTGCTACCAACGCCGGGGCTGGCTAGCACCTCCCTGTCGTGTTTCTCCTCCATATCAGGGCTCAGGAGCCACTGCCACTGCCCCTGCTGCAGGGTCTCCTCATGTGTTGCCACTGTAGTGGAACAGTGGGCAGAGGCATGTCACTTTCCCATGGCAGTGGATTCCCACAGGCCGGGCCGCCACCACCCCAGGCATTGGTTGATTCTTGTATGTACCCTGACCAGGATTGTTGCATATCAGGACAATGCTCTAACCAAATGAGCTACCCAGCCAGGGCTAGAAAGACTCTTTGGATGGTCAGGGAAGGCTTCTCCAAAGAGGTAATATGTAAGCAAAGACTTAAATTAACTGAGGTGTGACCCACCCAGACATCTGGGAGGGAAAACATTCTAGACAGAAGGGCCAACAAGCAGTCTTCCTCCAGAGGCCCTGAGGTACAGCAAGTTGGGCCTATGTGAGGAATAGCCAACAGTTCAGTGGGCCTGGAGTTGTGGGTAATATCACAGAGACTAAGAGTTTGGAATCTATCCTACAAATGGTAGGAACCCTACAGGTTGAAAGCAGAGGAGAGGCATAATTTGGTTTAGAATATGGTTTTAAAAGATTACTCTGGCTCCTGCTAGATTGTCCTGGAGCAGACGAGAGAGCATAGAAGCATGTTGGGGGCTACTGTAATAATCCAGGCAGGCATGGTTAGGGCTTAGGTCAAGCAGTGAGATGATGAAATGGGTCAGACTTTGGATCTTTTTTGAGGATCTAACAAAAGTTTGCTTATGGCTGAAGCCGGTTTGGCTCAGTGGTAGAGCGTCAGTCTGCGGACTGAAAGGTCCCAGGTTCAATTCCGGTCAAGGGCATGTACATTGGTTGCGGGCACATCCCCGGTACGGGGTGTGCAAGAGGCAGCTGGTCGATGTTTCTCTCTCATCGACGTTTCTAGCTCTCTATCTCTCTCCCTTCCTCCTCTCTGTGAAATATCAATAAAATATATATTAAAAAAAAAAAGTTTGCTTATGAATGAGACGTGGCGTATGAGAGAAAGAGAAGCTGAATATGGTTCCAAGGCTAGGCTTGAGCTCTGGGAAACACATGCATGCAAACATAGAGCACCACCACAGGGACCTATACATCAGGCACAGATGCACTCAGCCACCACACAGCTGGAAGCACACATTCCATAGTATCAGGGGGGGATAGACACAGACCCCACCACTTGACCTCTGCCTGCCCGTCTTCTCCCACATCAAAGCCCCAGGGTCAGAGTCCCCGTCTGACTCCAATCCTTCCAAGCTCAGCCTTGGCACCCTAGGACACCCCCACCCCAGTATTTTCCTACCAAATCTCATTCCTGCCCATACTGGCTCCTTTAACAAGGAGGCTCCTGACTCAGATTCTTCTCAGAGACTAGAACCTAGCCTCTGACTCCAGCTCCCTGCCCTTGGTCTCACCTGTCCAATACCCTCCTCCATGACCAGATCCTGCTCCCACACTCCAGTCTGAGGCCCTACAGAAAATCATCACTCGACAAATATTTGTTCAGTGCTCTCTATGGGCCAAGCTTTCTGCCCTTTTACCTTGACTTGAAGTCACACCTCCATGTTTACCTAATACTACCAACTGCCCTATTCCCAGCACTCCTGCATTCATTCTACTGGATGGCTGCCCTCTCTCCCAACCACCCTCTGGGTTCCCTCCTTTTCCCATCCAGCCTGCCAGCCATTGATAGGCAGCCTGGTGCAATGGGGAAGAGCAGTGCTTCATGCTCAGGCAGCCCTCAGCCCCATCCACCATTGAACAGCTGCAAAACCAGCCAAACACAGGTGATTCAATGTCCCTTCTAGAAAAGGTTGGCAATAGTTCTAACCTTCCAGACTTGTAGGCAATAATTCATGGGAGTCCCTTAGCCCAATGCCCAGTACACAATGGTTGCTGCTGTGCACTCAGGCCCACCTCTGCCTTACTGGCTCTATGGCTTGAGGACAAAGCATACCTGATGGGGACAGTGGCACTTGTGATCTCAGGGCCTAATTGTGATAACCATCACTCAAGTGATGTTGAGGGAAACTGAGACTGAGCAGTGACCTTGCTTAAGATCCCTCAGGGAGTCTGTTGAGGAAGTCCTGAAGTGGGAGCCTGTGTCATAAGTATTGGGCCATGCTATCCTGGGTGCACTGAAATATGTAACAGCCAGGACACCTCCTGCCCTGGACTGACAAATACCTATGAAATGAAGCCCACATTTGGCTCAAGAGCTGCTCTAAGTTTCTGCTCAGAGGCTGACAATCCCTGTGGGTCCTTACTGAGCACTTGCAATGTGCAGGCACTGTCCAGATGACCAATTTTGCTCATGTAACCCTCCTGAAAACCATCTGAAATTCCTGTTATAAATGGACACATAGGGTGGTTATGAAATATTGACCACCCACTGTCCATCGTGGTGCGCTTACACTGGAAGACAACAGAAGCCCCAGACCTCAGACAACAGAGGGTGGCAGTGTCTCTAAGCAGCCTCCAGATCTCTTTGTGCTTGGACGTGAGGTCGGAGCTATGGACTGATGATCACAAGCCCCACAGAGGGACACTGCCACCCCCCTGAGGTTCCTTGTGGGCCACAAGGTTCAGGGGCAATTGAGGGGGCCCTGCGTCTCAAAACAGAGAAAGGGCCAGACCCCCAGGCCTCAGGATGGGGATCAAAGAAATAAGGGGTGAGGAGGCAAGAAGTCGGGGAAGATGATCAGGAAAAAAGACAAAAGAAATAAAAACGACAAAAATCAAAATTAATAAAGTTTAATTAAATATCTATAAGACAATACATTGTTAAGTAGTAATGAACCTAACTCAAATTGGTATATATTAATGACTTTAATGTGGAATGCCAGCAAAATTTCTTATGTGACAGGGTGTGGGATTCAGCCTCTAAAATTCAAAGTGCCAGGGCCCGCCTATCGTCTTCAAATGTGCCACCCCCAAAACGTAGATGCATCCCTCAGAAAAAAAAAGGGTCCTCATACTGATGTGAAATTAAATTTCAGCCATGTGAGGAAATGAAAAAGCAAGAGAGGAGCACAAGTCAGTTATAGAAAAATGTAGGAATGCTCTTCACACATTCATCTGTAACGGAGTGCCTGGGTCAGCCTCTTCATCCCTGGGTGCTGACAGAATCCACCTACCGTCAAGCCCCTTCACCCTTCAGCAGCTGGGCTCACCAGTCTCCCATTCTTTACCACCTCTGAAGTGGAAACCTGCCACCCTTCTTCCTTCTAACCTAAAGAAGTTAATTCATGTGACTTTAAGGAATGGATCCAGAGAGCTGGGTTTGAGTCCAGAGGCCTCAGACTCATTGTGTGACCATAGGCAGATCCTATTCTCCCACTGGCCAAGTCTTGGTCCATGAAATGGAATAATGATGCCTAGTAAGGCTGCTGTATGGACCAAGGAAGTCACAGCTGTGTAAGACAGTGTTTTAAACAGATTGGACTGCACTGAGCTTTGTCTAACAAAACAAAACTCAAGGGAAAAATGTTTTTGTTAAGCTATGTTGAATCCCGGAGACATTTCATATTTGTCCTTTCTGAGCTCTGTTTGGGGAGGTGAGTTTTTATTGTTCTCCATGGTCTTTCTGCCGGGCTCACTGACTTTCTGGCCTGGCAAGTGGAGAGAGGTACCACAGCCGAATTGATAGGAAAGCAGGTTTGTGGAAGGGTGGCAGGAGCCCAAAAGGCTTGACTGCTAGAGGTCTGAGTCAGCAGCAGACAGGCAGGGTGGGCCCAGTCCTCACATACTTAGGGAGATGGTGCAGGAATGTTCCTCCAGCCCAAGGCCTGGGTTCTGCCCACTGCATCCTGGCTCTTGCAGATGCAGCAGCCTCAGCTTTAGCCCAAGAGGCGGTAGATGCCTGGAGCTTTGTTTGGTGGCTTCAGCCAGGGGCCTTCAGAGGCAGCCTAAACCTAGGCCCTGGCCCATGGGTTCACAAGGCCAGGCCAGAGAGCCTACCAGGAGTTGACTTCTGGCCCGAAGCATTCCCTGGCACACTGACGCAGCCAGCTGCCACCCCTCCCTGGACCTCATGTTCCTTGTCTGTGCAATGAAGAGCTAATGTGGTTGTGTCGGGTGATGGGTGATCCCAGATGGCTGGAGGTGGCTCACACACTGCCCCAGAAGGTGTCCCACAGGTGCAGCTACATGTGGGACACCTTTGCTATATCCACATGTGACTTTGTGGCAGTTTGCATGTATCACTGTGTGAGAATATTACTGTGTGCATGAGACTGTGGTATGGCTGAGAGTGATGCCATAGCTGGGACTGACATAGTGAACAGATAACATGTATAGACATAGCCAAGTGTGGACATGGCTGTGAATGTGTGATAGTATGTGGCACTGTAGATAGGAGTGCAATTGTGAGCACATGACCATGCAGATATGTATATGTGGCCAAGAGTGGTTTATGTGCCTGTGGGAAAGGTGTGTGGCTGTGTGTGGCTGTCTGCTTTGGGTTGGGCAACAATATCAGGGACCATGAGGGTGTATGGATGACTGTGTGGCTGTGCCACGGGATGGGAAGTGAGGTGGTGAACTGGGCCTAGGACCGCCTGTCTTCCCCAGGCCGGCTCTGTTCCAGCTGTGGCACAGTGGTTCACAGCCCTCCTGTGTCCAGGAGACAACAAGATGCAGGATCTGAGAACCACCTCCATCCCCAACACCCCACATGTGGCCACAAAACAGATTCCTTTCCTGAGTTGGGCCAAGATTGGGTATCAGGGTAGTTGCCCAGGGCAGAGAGGCCTGGTTTTCCACTCACCTCAGACAAAAATGAGGGAGCAAACTGGAGGCAGCTGGGCCCAGCTTAGTCTAGAACAAATATCTGGTATGTGACTGAGGCCAGCCAGCAGGATATTCCCCCACACTATTCCCCCAGTCTCCTGCAGAAAGGAGCTCTGGCCAGACCCAACAGATCTCAAATTCCCCCAACACCCTATCCCACACAGACCGAAAAGGAAGGAAGGAAGGAAGGAAGGAAGGAAGGAAGGAAGGAAGGAAGGAAGGAAGGAAGGAAGGAAGGAAGGAAGGAAGGAAGGAAGGAAGGAAGGAAGGAAAGAAGGGAGGGAGGGAGGGAGGGAGGGAGGGAGGGAGGGAGGGAGGGAGGGAGGGAGGGAGGGAAGAATAGGGAGAGGGACTATGATATTCAGTCCTCACCACACACATGCTATCTCAGCCTACAGATCTCAGTAGGCCTAGCCCGTCCCAACACTTCACATTCTGGTTCTTCTCCTAGGTGCATGTTGATCTGGTGTCAGGCAACTCCCTCACCCTGAGGATGGGAGGTATGGGAGATGGTCCCCTTTTAAGGAAGGGACACAGAGGGCAGTCCCAGGGCAGGAACATGCATGGGGACTTTAAAGGCACTGTGGGCTAAGAGGAGCATTCCCACCCTTTTTAGACTGACCTTGAGAAGTTGCCCCAAACCCTCTCCCAACAGTCCCCTTGCTGTGGTCAGATTGCTCTCTACAGAAGGCTAATTAGAGGTCAACACTGAGAAAAGATTAAGGGGGAGAAGGTCCTCAAAGGGGCTAGATATGAAGGAAGGAGAGCAGCGAGGAGGGAGACGAAAAATTCCACAAAGTCCCAAATCTGACCTAACTTGACTCAGGATCAAGGGCCCACTCCAGAATTTCCTCTGAGGACATTCTACCCTGAATGGGGAGCCCTTGCTGCCCTCTCCCCCAATGCATCTGCCAACCCTTTCCTTATCTCACTGCGCTGAGCTCCCAGGCCCTGGCCTGGCCAAAGCCTCCCCTGGTGTCTGGACCCAGGCACTTCTCCCTACACCAAGTCCACACTGCCCTGAAAGAACACTGTGCTTTCACCACACTTCTCTGTTCCAGGTGTGAAGTTCCCTGCGCATCCTACCTGGGGCACCCCAATGGCAGGGCTGAGGAGTCCTCCTCAGTTTCCAACACGGAAGCCACCACATGGCTGGGTATTCAGGACTGCCTAGGAAAGTACACCGTTTCTGAGCCCCACCTCCTTCCCTGGGCTGGGGCCTCCCTGGGGAGAGGAACCCCATCTATTAGACTGTCCTGAAACATGGTCTCCTATCCCTTTTTTATGCAACCCTCAGCCTAGATCAGAGCAGCACAGCCAAATCCCTGGCAGGACTTCACCATTGTGAGAAGATGGTGAGGTCTGAGAAGGGTGTGAAACTCTCTAGAGGTGTTCTTGGCCACCTCTAGATCCCCAAATAGCACCTCCCACCCGCACAGCCTTCTCCTCAACTATTGAGGTTCTGGGGTAAATTTTGTGCCTATCATAACCTCAGAGACAATCAGGGTTCTATCCTTCCCACACCCTCATCCCCTCTGAGATCTAAGTTTAAAAGTCATCTTTTTGTTATCTTAATTGTAAAAAAAAGTTTATCAAGAAAAAATATTCAAGCAGCAGCCACCAGGAATGGCCACGACCTCCTGGAGGGGGCTAGCAGTGGCACCTGTCAGTTCCACCCAACTGCTGCTGGACCACCCCCTGGCCTAGGGGAAGGAGTAACATAAACAAGAGTTCAAGACAGTGCAAATGGCCAGAATCCAGGCAGACATCACAATGAGACTGACCATCAGCAGGTGGACCCAGGGTCAATTGACCTATATTTTCCCCTGGGTTCCCCACTGTGCACCAGAAGAATTCAGGGATTCATAGGACCAAGGACCCTAGAAACCCGAGGTCTGAGTCTGCTGGAGTGTGAGGAACTATTGCTGTGAACTCAACTATCTGGTACCTTTTGGGTGTGCCCTCCAGGAAGATAACACTAGGGCCCTGGGGTTTATGACTTTTCTTAACACCTTGAACCCAGGGAAAAGATGCTGTGTGGTCCCCTAACCAAGGGATGTTAGGGGCTTAGCAGGTAAAAGGGAGTCAGGAGGATGTTGGCCTGCAGGCCCTCCTGCAGGGGGTAAGGGTGGGGCAGAGGCAGGGACAGGGACAAAGGGACAAGGAAGCTCCCTCCCCACCAAAGTAAGGTAGCAAACTTGCTTGGGAAAGGTGAGGGAGAGATGAAGGGTGTTTTTATGCCTATATACCTTTGCCCATGCTGTTCCTCTCTTCCAAATGTCCTCCCCACCTACTGTCCTCACTTACTATCTAGCAGGTCCTTGTCATTCTTCAAGACACCACTCGAATGTCACCTACACTATGGAGTCTTCCCTGACCTGCAGAATGAGTGAATCCCTCTGTGAGCTTCCAGGAACCCCTTATTTACCATGGGACATTCTGTGTTACCTGTCCCCCCCGCCAAATCTGTTTCAGTGACTGATTCCCACTTTGACTGGGGACACCCTGAGGGCAGGTGTGTCACAGCTCTGGGTATTCAACATTTGACCCAGAACCACAGCAGGGCCCAGAATGAGGGGATGGTGGCCAGGTGCACAGAGACTAGAGGCTCTACAGTTAGCTAAGACTCTGGCCTAGCCTTGAGTGACTGACCAGCAGCCCAGGCCTCAGTTTGGAGGGTTCCTGGTCCCATTCTCACTCCTGCTGTGCCCACTTCTAAGGGATGGAGAACTTCCCCCGGGTACCCATAACTCTTCCACAGCCCACCCCCAGCTGCTGCTGGTGCAGGAGGTCTGGAAACCAGAGTACACTGCAGTGACCAGGCTGACGGAGGGGCGGAGCCCGGTACTCAGGTCAGAGGTTGTCGTACATGCGCAGCGTCTTCTCCAGCTGCTGGCCTACGCGCTGGTAGAAGAGGATCTGCTGGCGCAGGTAACTCTGCATCATGTGCTTAAAGTCGAGCTCGCGGCGCTGGTGGAAGTGGTTCATCTCAGCCTGCAGGGCGAAGCCCACCACGCGGCAGCGCCTGCGAATGCCATCTGCTTCGTCCTGTGCCATGCGGCCCTCGTCACTCATGCGCTGGCTCTCCTTTACCTTGGCAAAAGCGCCTGGCATAGGCAGAGCAGAAGACAAGGGTTGTTAGGGCTCCGATGTCCCCAATTTGTTCCCTAAACCCTCTGTTAGTACCCCCCAAGAGCAGACAGCGGCCTCATTAATTTGACTCAGGCCTCGCTCCTGGACTCCAGACTCCTGGTCCAACTGGGTGTCCCTACCAGGATGTCCCAACCCTCACCTAAACAGATGCACCATCTTCCCTCCAAACCTGTGGCACCAACAACCCACACCCCGCAGTCACTGCTCTGCTATCTACATTCCAGAACCCGGATATCCTAATTCAGCCCAGACATTACCTCCTCCAGAAAGCCTCCCCTGGAACCCCCTGCATTAGGTGCTTCCCAGTGTTCTCAGGTGCCTGGGTTTCCCTCCCCCACAGCTCTCACCACCCTGCAGTTTCTTGGACTGCCTCCCTATGGGCTGTGAGCTCAATATTTCTAGCACCCAGAACAAAGCCTAACACACAGCAAATCCTGATACATACCCACTGATACATGTTCAACGTGTCCCTCACTGGACAAGGACAACAGGCCTCCAAAGACCTCACATCTCAGTCCCAGCCTCAAGAGATTCTCCAGAGCACCTGAATGCAGTCAAGCTGGACACCCAGAGTTTCAAGCTTTCCCTGGTTTCCCTCTGTCTGCAGATCAAGATCTACATCCACTCATAAGGCTCTCTGAGAGCTGGTCCCTGTACCCATTTCACATTGACCCCACGTTCATCAGACTCACCTTGCTCTTTCCCAACTCATCTCTCTGCCCCCTGGATCCCTATGCATAATTCAAACCTCCCGTCAGTGTTCCCAGGAACAATGCTTCCCTCTACACCACACTGCTTACTCTAAAACAGAGCCTCCAAGGCCACCTGGAGTTTTCCTTTGTGTGTGTCTCCCACACAGACAGATCCTGCCCCCTCCTCACTCCAGCTCCCAGGGGACTAGAGGAGGCCATTGTAATAACCAGGTGACAGATGGAGGGCAAGAGATGAACCTGGGCAGGTGACCCAATTTGGAAGAATCTGAATGAATCAACAAAGCAATTGGTGAATGGATTCCAGTTTGGAATTAACAGGTACTTGACTAATTCTGCAATGAAGCTGAGAGGGGAAGACAGTTTGCCAGGGCCTGGCACTCACTCTCTCAGAGCTGTAGGGAACCCACTGTGCAAAGAAGAATGAGATGAGAAGGGTTGGCAAGGTGGACAGCACACCATTAAGTACTTCAAAAGGATCCACTGCATACAAATAACATGCTTATTATCCATACTTCCCATTTCTTCTTTAAGGAGGCTTCTCAAGGTACTTCAAAATGTGTTATTTTTACTAATTATTCAATGCATTCAAGATGCATTTATTGAGCATTACTATATGCTAATCCCAGGGCTCTATATCCTGGTAATAACTCTGGGGGCCTTTAGAACTGGCAGCACCATATTAGTAAACAAGTGCATGGCTTATTGGCTAATATTGGCATTTGGGGCAGATACACTCAAGTTTGAACAGTCTCCAGAGCTGCTCACACCGCATTCAAAATAACCCTGATCCCAGCCCACTCAGTCCTTTGGCCACATTCCGGCTCCAACTGCTCAGGCCTGGGCAGCAGAAGCAGGATCACTCTAAGACCTAATGAGAGACTTCAGAGCAGGAGAGGCCCTAGAGGCCAGCAGCCTGCCCCACCTCCCAAACCACTGCTCTGCAGAGGAAACAGGCCATGAAGGGAAGGGACTTGCGTAGGGGCTCCCACCTCCTTCCTGCCCCTCACAGAGGGAATGCCTGCCCAGAGACACCCCTCCACAGCTAGGAGGTACACATGACTTCTGCAGGGAGCCCATGCCAGATCACCCAGGCATTTGTGTGGGACCCCAGACAATGGACTCAGGAATCTGAGAAGGTTCCAAGAAATAAGGACTAAACAGGTAAAAAACAGCAAGACAAAAAACTGGAGTTAAGCTTCAGCAAAAGGAACCTACTAGAAGAGGGGACACTGACAAGCCTGGATTCCACCTGCCTGAGAAAGTCCAGTGGGGGGTGGGCCTGTACTCGAGAAGGCACTTCTTGCCCATAGCCTAGCGGAAGGAAAAGCCCCTTTTGTTGTTGAGGAGATTGAGGCCCAAATAATAGAAATTAATCTAATGCAATTGTAGGTATCCAAAGACAGACAGCCAGGCAAGGAGCCAGGGACAGGAGACAGAGGCTATGGGGATAAGAGGGAGGTGGAGGCCCCACCTTGCTCTCTGTCACTTCTCTACCCTGCAACACAGGTCTGGGGCCTAGACCAGCTGACACTAAAGTGCCCAGAAACCAGCCAGGGGGCAGAAGTCAGGCCAGTCTGGCATCCCCCTACATTCCACTTTGGAGTCAACTTGAGAGATCCAGGGGAGCGAGCCTCTTGCCCTGGCAGTTGTCCTATAGGATAGGTCCCAGGAATAGGAAAAGAAGGGTTGGAGTTTCAGAGCTCCATGGTCCCAGGCATAGTCCCTAAGCTCCCTCCTTAATCAGTCTTATCACCACTTCTTGGAGGTTGTAACCATCTGCACCAGGTTGGGGGCAAGAGATCTGAGTCCTGGTCCCAACTGTGTCATCTCCAGCAAGCTTCTGCACTTGCCTGGTCTACAGGTTTTCCCACATCAAAGGGTGCAGGTTGGATAGATATGATGCTACTGACAACTGCTCATAGCAGGATAATGCTTTAGTTTCCACATCTGTGAAATGGAATAAGAATATTTACCCTCTAGGGTAATTGAAGTTTGATTGAACTAATATGTATAAAGTACTTAGGATGGCATCTGACCAAATAAAAGCTCAAGATGCTATTTGCAATTGTCTACAAACTGCTTTTTAGTCCCAGCAAGAACCAGCTGGTGGTGGCTCATAGCAATGATTCTCTTTGTTTATGGAAACCTAGGAGGGATGGCAGAGGGAGGGTTAGACAAGAGCCCAGAACGGAGGCCCCACCTGTCCCCCAGGCAGGTGCCTGGCTAGTAAGAGTCACTTTGCCTTGGCCAATCTAGGAGCTCACTGGCCCCTCCGTGCATGCTTTGTGGTCCCGGGCCTGCCTCCAGTCCACAGAAGATTGCAACTAAGTTAGCACTACAGCATCCAAGCCTCCCTCCCTTTCCCTTCCCCTCCTAACTCATCTACTCCAAATAGCCATCCCTAAGAGAGCTCCTTCCCCCATCTATCAGGAAAGTGGACACTGCCTGGGCTGTGGAATCAGACACACCTGGGCTCCAATTCCTGCTCTGCTCACCATCCCACCTCACTCACCTCGTCTGTAAAATGGAAGGGGTCATACCAACCTCCTGGCTTGGGTGTGATGAGTCTTAGGCAGGGCAGTCACTGTCTCCCCTTGTTGTCCCAGGCCCTAATAATAGTTACCCTGAGACAATTACCCCCAAAACTGCCTTGATTTGGACTGAGGTCCAGGAGCTGGACCAGTGGGCAGACAGGCTGGTGAGCCTCATTTCAGTGCCAACTAGAAATCTCCCATTTTACTGAGGTAAACACTGAGAGGAGAAAACTCTCTCAAGGTCACCTTAGAGACAATGTGTATCTAAATCCTGGCCTCCTGATCCCATCTAGGCCTCCCATTCCCCTCCTCCCATGACCTCTCCCAGACTCTCACCATCTTGCAGATACCCAGACAAGCCGGACAGAATCCTGTGGGACCCAATTTCCTCCTCCTTCCTCTGAGAAAAGGCTCTACTTGCAGGGCTAGCATGGGACCCCTCCTCCCTCCAACAGGATTTGGGCCCCCAAAGCCGGCCAATTCTGTCTCAGCCAGATTACAAAACCCCTCCGTAACTCACCAGAACACAGACCTAGGAATGGCAATGCAGAGTCCAGAGGAGGAATAATAAGCCCAAAAGGGCTTTCATTATTGGGGAGAGGGTCCTCCGGGTAAGGGAGGTGGACCAGCCTCTGCCTAAGCTTGAATACATCACCCCAGAGAAACACAAGGGGCAAGTGGAAAGTCAGAAATGGCCTCTCTCAGCTCCATCTCCCTGCCCCGGGGTCAGAAAAGCCAGGCTGGCTTCTACTCCCATCTACTTAAGAGGGTGCCTGGGAGCCCTGAGTATAGGGCTGCCTTCCTGCCCCCAGCTATGCCCTGGGTGAAGGTCCCCAGCCACCAAGGGAGGGGGTGCACAACGGTTTAATCACTGTGCCACTGCTTTCCCTCCTGCTGCCCCTGCTGCTGCCCAGTAGGAACAGGCCTGCTAAGGAACTGGTTGAACCAGCTTTCCCAGGTCCTAAAGCAGCAGTGGGGGGGTGGCTCCATTCCAAATGGGCCACCAGCCAGCCAGGCCGCCTCCCTTACCCTCTCCCTGCTCCAGAGCTCAGAGCCAGATCTAAGGCATCACTGTCCTCAACCAGACCCTCCCCATAAGCCTCCCTTACCCACCTTGAAGGTCTAAGAGCTCAGGGTCCACCCTCCCTTGTTTTATAGATCAGGAAACTAAGACCCCAGAGACAGGAAGGCAATTTTCAGCAAATTGGGGGGAAGAGCCAAGACTAGAGCTCAGGCCTCGTGTCTCCTGAAGCTGAAAGAAGAGGGAAGGAGGAGGAGAGGAATGGAGAGATGAGAGAAAAAGACAAAGAACAGAAAAGAGAAAGTGAAGAGAGAAGGAAGCTGAGAGCTATAGAAGTTCTAGAAGCCAACCTCCTGTTAAAGGAGAGCAAGGCTGGTTTACACCAGACTCTCCTGGGTACTGAGGTAGGGGGTGGCATTTGCTGACGACCCCCAGGCTCAATCCAGAGGCCTGACTCCTGACTCCACCCAGAGGGAAACTCCCAAGCTAGCCAGGCCTGACCTCAGGCCTAAGGGGCGCGGAGCGGACCCACCCTACAGAAGCCCTAGAGACGTTCTTCCTGAGTTACCAAGCAGCCCCAGGGAGGACCACACCTCTCTCCTGACGTCTGCCCTGCCTGTTGTCTCCAGGACTCAGTCACCAGATAGGTCAGATCAGGATTCACTGCTCAGGCAAGAAGACAGCCAGGCTCGGGAAAGGGTAGTTAGATGGGCCATGTGCCCCTGGTTCCTCCCCAGCCCAGCCCAGGTGCCCCTGGGTGACCAGAGTGAGTCACTTCCCTGCCAGTTCCTTGACAGCCCCACAGCAACAGCGAGGGGCCCATCCTGCTCCTCCCCCACAGAGGGGCTGGGAGAAATTAAAACACAGCCAGGTTTGGGAGGTGGCCAATAAGAATGTGCGCTTGAGGAGTCACAAGAGAAAGCAAATCTCCGCTGGGCCGCGGACTCCCTGTGCAACCACTCTCCTATGGACACCACCCTCTATATCTGTAGAATGGGGACAACAACCCTCCCCACCAGACTGGGAGCTCACAGAAAGGATATGCAGTGGTGAGAACCGGTTCTAAGGAGGTGAGCTTGTGAGGCAGTGGGAAGACAAGCCACACTGTGCTTGTTATCTGAGTCTGTATCCATGTGTGCTCCTCAAGGGCAGGGCCTAGGCCCTGGTCATCTCTGTGTTCCCAGAACCCAGCCTGATACCTTCAGGAGCTCAGTGTAGCCCTAGCCGACTTGGCTCAGTGGATAGAGCGTCAGCCTGCCGACTCAAGAGTCCCAGATTCGCTTCTGGCCAAAGGGACAGGCCTGGGTTGCGGCTCAAACCCCAGTGAGGGTCGTGCAGGAGGCAGCTGATCAATGATTCTCTCTCAGTCATTGATGTTTCTATCTCTCTCCTTCTCCCTTCCTCTCTGAAATCAATAAAGAAATTTTTTTTTTAAAGAGCTCAGTGTATAATGTGTAAATGGAAAAATGAGATAGAAACAGAAAAAAAATGAAAGAAGAAAAGACAACAAGAAGGTAAACAGTGAGCCTCATGAGGACAGGGACCATATCACTACACCTAGAATAGCATCTGTCTTATAGTAGGTGCTCAACACGCTTGTTGAATGAATGAACAAGACAGAGACAGAAAGTTTAGATGAGCTGTTCCATTCTGTGTAGGCCATGCTCACATCCCCACGTCCAGCAGAGTGCAGATTCAGTAAGGCTCTCCAGATGTGCTGCACTGGCCCTTACCTTTCTGCAGGTGAATGATGTCAGGAAAGTTGGAGAGCAAACCCTGGTAGAGAGATAGCATGTCAAGCACCTGGAAGAGGTCGTTCTTGGGCTGCTCAGCGAACATCTCACCAACAGTTTCATAAGTACGGCCCGTGTGAGAAATGGCACTGTTGAGGGCCTCAGAACTAAAGGGGGGGTCCATCTGAAAGGCATGACTGATGGCTTGAAAGGCATTGCCCAGCTTCTGGAATTCTTTGCGGAAGCCTCCCACATGCTTGCGTACCAGCTCCAACGCTACAGTGCTGAGCTGCAGGACACTGTCATCCATCTTCTTGCTGAAGGCCTTGAAAGTGTCCACACGGTCCTCCACGTCCTGCAGGTCCTGGTGTTCTGTGGGGATCTGGAAGGTGAGGAGGAAGCTGGCACCAACCATCTCATCCTTCTCCGCCCGGCGTTTGCCCATCTTCCACTGCTTGTCATCCAAGCAGCTAAGGAAATGCTGGAAGCCCTCATACTGGGACAGCACAGGGTGGCTGGTCATGTGGTCCATCCAGAGGATGAGCCGCCGCTTCCGCTTCTCAATAAAATCCTCCTCAAAGCGACCTGTGGCCTGCTTCTCTGGCAGGTGGGGCACAGAGATGACAGTGAATTTGTGAAGCAGGCGGTTATAGAGCCAGTCAAAGTGCTTATACCGCCGGTAGACAGGGGAGCCAGCATGGGTGGGCGTGAGCTTGTAGGAGATGTAACTTTTGATGCCCTTGAATTTGGTCTGTTTGGTGGGGTCTTCCACAGAGCAGGCAAATGGGTGGGGGTTGGCCTTCCACTGGGGGCCACGAGGGCCCATTTCAATGGAGTATGTCTCAGCAATCTTGGCCATCATGGGCACATCACCCAAGATGAAGGCCTCCACTCCAGAGCGCACAAAGCACGAGAAACGGTTGAGGTTGCGCCCGACCACACTGCCTCGCTTAGCAGATGCCAGGCTGTCCTGCCGCTCCAGGAGTGGCTTGGGTTGGAAGGCCATGTGCTGGCTGGGGTAGGCACCAGGGTAGGAGAGGTTGAGTGGGGAATACCCATTGGTGCCCATCCCACCAGTCCGTGGTTCCTCAACCACTGTGCATCCATCGTCCCAGTCGTCCCAGTCATCATCATCATCCTCCTCGAAGCTGCCCTGGTTTGAGAGGAAGCCACTGCCCCCACCGCTCCCAAGGTTGGCCACCCTGGAGCTGTCATACAAGCTCACCTGGGTGCCTGGAGAGCCTGCAGAGCTGCCGGAGTAGTCAGCGTGGTTGAAGCTGGTGCCAGAGCTAATGATCTCCACATAAGAGGCGGGGAAGAGCCCTGTCTCACCAAGGCTGTTCTGGCCCTGCAGCCAACCATCCAGTGAGGTCTCACTGAAGATGACCAAATCCTCACCCTGCTGGATGTTGATTTCCTCTTTGTTCTCACTGTGGAAGTCATAGAGGGCTCGGCCTTTTAGTGCCATGGCTGGGCCAGTGGTAGAGAAAGATGAGGAAAGGGTCCTGCCCAGAACTAGGATGTCCAAGAACGCACTAGCAAACAAAGGCCGGCCCAGCAGCTGTCTCTCCACCCCTACTGCAGGTCCCAGCACCCAGCCCTCTCTTCAAAGTTGTGCCCATGGCTCCAAAACTTCCCTATCACAACTCCCAGCACCTGTCTGGGGGCAGGGGAGCCTCATATCCATAGTCTTCTTCACCACTCTTGGCAGGCCCTGAAGGGGAGTTTCTCCCTCCTTCCACTCCCAGGAGAAAAGTCAAGTGACTTGGAGAAGTGAGAGGGCAAAAATTCCACTTTCCACTGGAACAAGGTTCTAAAACAAAAGAGAATCACTCGGAAATCACGGTTCCAGAACCCTGGCAGCTGTGGTTCCCAGCTCCTTCTGGCCCCTCCAGGCCTTGGAAGACTCTCACATTCCTCCCCAGATCTGCTCCTTCCTCCTTCTCCTCCTCCTGGGCTACTGGGTTTCCAAAATTCCAGAAAATCCAAAGGAAAAAAGCAGCAGCCTCCTTCCTGAATCGAGTCCAAGGTGGATGTGTCCAGCTTCCCAACCGGCCAGGCCGGGAAAACAAGGACTGCGGCTTGCACAACAGGCCGCCAACTCGCCGACCCTGGCGGTCCGGGGCCTCCAGCCCGCTCGGGCTACGGAGGGCTTAGCGGCGTTTGGGCGACTTTGCCCCACCGGCGGAGCGGCCTCTTTTGTTTGCCTAATTCCTCAGCAGTTTCTGAGCCTGAGGCTGACCCGACCGAACCCGAGGACCGCGTCCGAAGGCAAGCCGCCCGCAGACCCCCGCCCGCCGCACGCGCTCACACTCAGCAGGAGTTTGCGGAGCTACCCAGCGAGCAGATGGCGCCCGGCCGCCGCCGAGCCTCCAGCGCGCCTCCGCCGGCACTTGCAGCCCCTCCACACCGCCAGCAACAGCCAGCTAAAAAAAAAAAAAAAAAAAAAAAAGGCGACTGGGAGGTGGCGTCCGCGGGGAAGGAGGGAACGGGGAGGCGGGGGGCGGGCGGCGCGGGGTAGGGCTGGGAGGGGCGGAGAGAGGCAGGCAAATTCCGCGGCACTTCCGCGAGGCGCAGGGCTCCGACTCCGCCCCCCTCCCCACCCCCAGCTCCTGGCTTCTTTCTTCGGGCAGTGGCCCACACCAGCTCCGGGAGATCGGGGTGAGAGAAGAAAGAGACGACCCAGGAAGTCGGCGGGGCCGAGCCTCCAGGACTGTCCGCCCTCAATGGGAGGTACCTCCGCCCCGAGGGTCGAGCGTCGAGCTCTTCCCCGCCAGCCACCGCCGCCTCCTAGACTCCGGTCACCTCCCACCCCCGTCTTTTCCGTGACGCCAGTGTTTGAAAACCCCAAAAGTTTGCAAATTGAGGGGCTGCAAGGAGGATATCAGAGGAAGGGGATTGAGGAAAGGAGCGTGGAGAGCCGCTCCCACCCCCTCCCCTCCTTCCCTTCCCTCTCCCCCTTCACCCCGTCCCTGCCCCAGCGGGACTGGGCGGCGGTGCAGCCCTGGACTGTTCTCTGGAGCCTCGCCCACCCCTGCCCCTCCCCGAGCCAGCGGCGTCCTCATGGAAGAAGCCTGAGCGGCCTGGGATATTGGCCGCTGCGGGTCCTAGAACCTCAGCCAGAGCCAGGAGATCAAGAGCCTAAATCTTGTTAGCCACAGAAACAAGCCCAGACACCACTCGGTTCCGTGTTGCTTCGTGCAGCGGTGGGGACGGTGGGGAGCAGCGAGGAGGAGGGAGGGGTAATCGGGGTAGACATCCAAGAAGAGGCAAGGAGGATTTTACTCTCGCTCAGCCCGTCCAGAACATTTTGGGCACTGACTGCCAGGCACTGTGCCCACAGCACAAGTCATTCCGGGTTCCTGCCCTTGAAGGCTTACAGTTCACTCTCTTGTCCTTAATTCATGCATTCTCTCTCTGTTTAATTCTTTCAATCATGCACTCAAGGAAGCACTGTCCTTACATTCCAGGGGCTCAGATGTGTTTGGACAAGTAGACAGAGACTCTTTGCCCAGTGTGAGCAGTAACATAAAATGTGCTTGAGAGTGCACAGAACCCAGCCTGGGATGGAGCAAGGATCGAGGACAGCTTCCTAGAGATGTGCAGCATAGGCCTCAGTTCCTACTCCCCTTCCAGGCTATGCCCTGGAGCCTTGCCTACCCCTCTAGCGAGGATTCCCTATCATTTTCACTCTCCCCACTTGATGCAGATTAACTGGCAGAAGGCAATACTGCTAAAGGTGCACACCTTTGGCTGTTTTGATAGGTGTGATTTGCAGGCCTCTAGCTCCAAACTCATTCATTGGTGCATTGAGTAATATAATTCCCTATGCAGGTCTGGCATTTGACCCCCCCCCCAAAAAAAAAAAAAAAGTATTTTGTACATACCCCAAAAGCCCAGGTATTAATTTGCACAGGGAAATAGAACTGTGAGGGAAACCTGAATTTTTGCACCAATAGAATAAAGCAATTTGAGCTGCTCCTAGAAAGCCCAGTTACAGAAGGTTTGCACCGTGAACCTGGAATCCCTAGAATAAGAAAAGGGGATGGTATGGCAAGTCTCAAAGAACAAACCTTCAATTTGTATCCCTCTCTACAGGGGCAGCCTTGATGCTAAGGACTCAATTTATCCCAGTTCTGTATCACCATGACCAGTCTGAATACATGTTTCTCCCAGCTGCTTTGGGATGCCTCTTTTCTGTGATCTCTCTGCTGTTCACAAAGCTTCCTTCCAAGCTGGGTTTAACAATAGCAGCTACACCTGAACCGGTTTGGCTCAGTGGATAGAGCATCTGCCTGCAGACTCAAGGATCCCAGGTTTGATTCTGGTCAAGGGCATGTACCTTGGTTGTGGGCACATCCCCAGTAGGGGGTGTGCAGGAGGCAACTGATAGGTATTTCTCTCTCATTGAAGTTTCTAACTCCCTTTTCTTTCCTCTCTGTGAAAAATCAATGAAGTATCTTTTTTAAAAAACAATAGCAGCTACTTCCTTAGAGACACTGTTGTAAACATCTTAACCTTTATTAACTCATTTAATACAATTGGGATTTCTGCTCACACAACTAGGCTTCTAATCCAGCCTCAGCCCCTTGAGAGACCCCCAGCCACCAACTTGATGGTCTTTAATTCTCACACATTTATAGGCCAACCATCTTTGCTTTACTCCCACATCTGTTCTGGGTGGGTTTTTCTAACTTTCAAGGGCCAACCTTATTTCCAGGTTTTGGGAAAACCTTCGGCCTCACAGGCACTTCCAGAACTTGTATCTCCCATTCCCTCCCTTCCAGGGACTCTCTTCAAGTCTAGGAGTTACAGAGCCTCTGGTCACATGTGTCTGGAAACCACTAACCTTTGTGGTTTCCCTACATTCTGCTCATTCTGTTGGGAAAAGTTGCTTTATTAAGTTCTCTTCATGCCGAACCCGGTTTGGCTCAGTGGTAGAGCATCAGCCTGTGGACTGAAAGGTCCCAGGTTCGATTCCGGTCAGGGGCATGTACATTGGTTGCAGGCACATCCCCAGTGAGGAGTGTGCAGGAGGCAGCTGATTGATGATTCTCTTTCATTGATGTTTCTAATTCTCTATCCCTCTCTCTTCCTCTCTGTAAAAAAATCAATAAAATATATATTTTTTAAAAAGTTCTCTTCACATCATTATAATTGGAGTACGGTCTCTTTTTCCTGCTGGGACCCTGAATCCTGCACAGGAAACAACATCCATTTCCCCTTTCAGGCATCCAACGTTCCTCCTTTAGGAAAGGAATCAGCAAATGAGAACTCCTCTTTCGTCAGTATTTACTGCAGCTCTGATGGTCCTAGCTACTCTTTCTCACCTAGATCACTGCAACAGCTTCCTAGTAGTTTCTGTTTCCACCTCTGCCTCCAGATAGTCTGTTCTCAACACAGCATCAGGGTGATCCTTTTAAAATACAAGTTAGCTGTTAATCCTGTACAAAACCCTGCAGTGCCCTTCTCTCACTCAGCATAAAATGTTCTTACAAGAGCCACAAGCTTCTTTATCTGAATTCCCTTTCTTGCCTGCCTAGCCCACTCTGCTGCAGCCAAGATGGCTGTTACTCCTCTTCAGACATGCCAGGCACATTCCTGTCTTAAAGGATTTGCACCGACTGTTTCCTCCTCCAGAAATGCTCTTCCCTTAAATATAGACAAGGCTATCCCTAGCCAGTTTGGCTCGGTGGATAGAGCTTTGGCCTTCATACTGAAGGGTCCTAAGTTCAATTCCTGGTTGCAGGCTTGATCCCCATGCTGGGCATGCAGGAGGCAGCCAATCAATGATTCTCTGTCATCATTGATGTTTTTACCTCTCTTTCCCTCTTCCTTCCCCTCTGAAATCAATAAGAATATATTTTTTTTAATTTAATTTAAAAGATTTTATATATAAAATCACTTCATATATATAAAATCACTTTATATATATAAAATATCACTTCAATAAGACCTACCCAGACATACCCTATTTATTTTTATTTTTTTCCTTATTTTTTTAAAAATTATTATCTGTGTACATATCTTACCGTTGCCCCCCCGCCATACATATTCTCCCTTCCCAGAATTTTGTGTCCATTGGTTGTACTTATATGCATGTATATAAGTCCTTCAGTTGATCTCTTATCTACCCCAGAGCTCCCCGCTGTAATTTGACAGTCTGCTTGTTACTTTACTGTCTCTATATCTATCTTTTGGTTCATCAGTTTATAATGTTCTTTATTATCCATAAATGAGTGAGGTCATGTGGTGTTTCTCTTTCATTGACTGGCTTATTTCACTCAGCATGATGTTCTCCAATTGTATCCTGGTTGCTGCAAATGATGAGAATTCCTTCTTTTTTATGGCAGCATAGTATTCCATTGTGTAGATGTACCATAGTTTTTGGATCCAATCATCAGCTGATGGGCACCTAGGCTGTTTCCAAATCCTAGCTATTGTAGATTGTGCTGCTATGAACATAGG